CGTGGGAAAAAAAAAAAAAAAAAAAAAGAATTATTCAATTCCAATTTCTTTCTTTTTTTGGTACCAGAGATTCAACTCAGGACCTTCTACTTGCAAGGCAGACACAGTACCCACTGTACCAAATTCCTGGCTCTCAATTCTAATTTTTTAAGCCTGTATATGCATCTTTTGATGAAGGTTAGAGGGTCTGTTAAAAAAAAAAGGGAATAACTCACCCCACCAAGGGGGACTGGTAAAGACATGTCAAACACTCCCTTTCTGCCCATCTTCATTAAAGAACAAAAAAGCATCTACTTCTAGTTACACAAAGCCCAAACCTGTTTGGTTTCTGTTTTAGCAGGGTCTCAGAAGGAAATGACTTTTCTCTGAAATTGTAGACGCCCAACCCAGCTGTGGTATTGTTAGACCTCAGGGTAAACAGGAAGCTTCCTGTCTTGGGCTCTTCATGTTCCTCTTCCAGACTATTAAAGACTGTTAATAGGATGGTAAAAGGACAGCTGCTGGCCATAAAATCAGCTCATTCCTTAGATCCTTACAGAATAGCAACTAGACCTCTTTCCAAGGTCAGAGAGAAAACTTTGTACTTCTTCAACTTGTACCAAGTGTGTCCACCTACCTAGGGTCTTCAGGCATATGGTTTCTGGGAGTGATTAGATCCAGTGTGACAGTTACACTGAGACTGCTGAAGTTGGAATTACATCTTCTAGGAAAGGAACAATCAATTCTATTCCCTAAAAGCAGGCAAAGAGAAGCCAAGAGCAAAGTGCCCAGTGTTCTGAGATAGGCAATAAAGGGTTGAAACAGGACCTCAACTCCTCCTGCACACAGGGTAGAAATCCCTGGATTTGCAGCTGTTGGTGAGAAGAGTGAGAAGTTTCTGCCAGCTGGAAAGACATTAGGGCAGGGGTGATCATCTTTTGCCAAGGAGGGCACTCGGTGTCTTGGCAGAAAGCGGAGGGCAGCCCTGATCTGTGTGTACATTTTCAGAAGCATTTGACTCCAGACCAAATGCTTGGCTGTGTTAGTGCTGTGGCAATGAGTGGGAATGCTTATTGGCCAGACTGACCAGAGGCTCCCACAGAGGGTGTTGGTCCTGGGCCAGGAGCTTCCCTTCAGCTGGCAAGTTTAGCCTTCTGTCAGGGACAGAGGGAGTGTGTCCAAATTCCAACTCTCGGGGCTCTCCAGAAGCTACTGATGATTACCCATCTGTTTTGAAGAGTTTTTGCTTATTGGAATTTTTGGCTCAAATAGGGAATAAGAGGGATGATGATACAGAGCCAAACTCATACCTGGCTCAACGAATGGGTAAAAACCGTTCCATAGGGTCAGTGATCTTACTACTACTAGTGACACACACACAACTAAAAGCAGGGGAGATGCCATTTCAACCTCAGACTTGCCTACAATTTACTCTTTCAGGCTGCTGTGTTGGTGCCTCTGACTAATGTCTATCAAGTAAGTAAGCACAGGCACTTGAGAATGACAGGAAAACCAGTTACTTTATGCAGGACAAGGAGCCTTATTTGCAAGGTGTCACTATTTTTGCCTTGTTCAAAGAAAAGATCACTGCAATTACTTCTCAGAGTTGCACCCAGGGGTGTAGTATTTTCTTCTAAAGGCTGAAAGCAGAAGAAATGGAGATACTTTCTTCTAAAGTTACATTTGAGCATCTACTAAGTGGTTAGACTGGGGTGATTCTGTTGTTTAAAGCACCCCCTCAAGATTTTCAAGCTGAAAAGGACCTATAAGCCCCGCTTCCCTAGTAATGAAGCATAGCAACTCCCCTAGTTTGAAAGGCTGTAACACAGGTTCTCAAACTTGCCCAAGATAATACAGCTGGGGTTATATTAAGACTAGAATCTGGGGGGCTGAGAATTTAGCTCAGTGGTTCCACCACCTGCCTTGCAAGCACAAGGTCCCAAGTTCTACAAGAAAATAAAAGACTAGGATCTAGGGCTCTCCTGCCACAGAATTTTTTTTTTTGGGGCGTGCCAGGAATCAAACTCAGGACCTCATACCTGCTTGGCAAGCACAAGGCCCCAAGTTCAATTCCCAGTACCAAAAAAATTAAAAAGGGAGAGAGACAGGATCTTGTTAAATTGCCCAGGTTGGGTTGAAATTTGTGATCTTCTTGCCTCAGCCTCTCAGAATGCTAGGATTACAGGTATTTGCCACTATGCCCAGCTTCCTGCCATTTTTACCCCAAGTGATTTTATTTATTATTATTTGATGCTGGGGAATCAAACACAGAGTCTCACATACTCTATAAAAGAGCTATCGCCCAAGCCGTGATTATTTGTAAAAATATAATTAATCGCATGCATAACTCAGTTATTTAATTAGCATATCTTTGTAAGATTTTTTATATCACACAAGAAAAAATCTTCGGAAATATCCCATTTAGAGAAGATAGCCCCACTTTCCTACTGGCGCACTGTCTAGGCCTACACTATCTTGCGTGGACTTCACCAGAGCCTTTGATCAAGCATACATTTAAATAACTTACATTTAAATGTATATGTGAGTCAGGGGCAGATTTAAGACTGTCTCTGCTATGCTAACTGCCTAAACAGATCCAGGGGTATTTTAGACTTGGAACACGACTTATAGTGAAGATAGTAATTACTGCATAACTTGTCCCAGAAGGGTCTCTCTAGTGGCTCATGCTTCTCTCACTCCTAGCCACTACCCAAAGATGAGGGTATTTCAGAGGGTTCCAATGGACAGAGCAGGGATTCCAGGGTAGCACAGGAAGCCCCAGTGTGTCTATTAAGTTTCAGACCCTAGATTAAGTCAGCTTCCAGGTTTCAGCTTATTCCTCAAGACTTTAGGTCACGTCCAAGGCAGGAAGTTGCAATGTAGGAGTAGTCCCAGGAGCCAGTAAGTCAGGAAGTAGCCTAGAATGTATCGTGTGACTGGAGAACAGGTTTTCCAGTTGTACAAAAGTCCCATGATAGAATTTCTGAGAACCTTTTGTCCTGATGCGGAGTCTTCCACAAGAGGCTTCCAAGGCACTGTCTCTGGGGATCTCAACAGTGACTCTTGATCTTGAAGTAAATAAGCTGGAAACCAGTACACAACAGGAGTGGAGGAGCCCAAAAACCTGGTGAGAACCTAGAAATCGTAAGAGAGGGAAAACCCACACATTTATGGGAAGGTCACTAATGCAAGCTGGATCAGCCTGGGGGTTCTCTGCTTCTGGGTGAATTATGACCCAATGATTAGAATTACACTGCACTAGAAAAGCAATTCAACAAAGCCAAGGATGTGTGTTATAAATATGCATGTGACACCTGCCAGTCAACATCCATGTTACAAACATAGCATCAGACTATTTACAATAATGGGACAATCAGGCTGGGGATTTAGCTCAGTGGTTCTGCTGCCTGCCTCACAAGCACAAAGACTCGAGTTCGATCCCTGGTACCAAAAACAAAAACAAAAAAACAAAAAAACAAGCACAAGGACCCAAGTTTGATTCCTGGTACTAAAAAAAATAAAAATTGCCGGGCATGATGGTACATGCCTGTAATCCTAGCACTCGGGAGGCTGAGGCAGGAGGATCGCTGTGAGTTCGAGACCAGCCTGGGCTATATGGTAAGTTCTGGGTCAGTCTGAACTACACAGTGAGACCCTGTCTCAGACAAACAAAAAACAAACACACAAATAGAATACACTGTATTCTACAGCAGCTCAGAGAATCTCACAAATAGCTAACATGTGTCTCCAAAAGGTACTGCTAAGGGAGAGGTCAACGTGGAGACAAGACTTCCCAGGGGATGCTGAAACCAAGGCCACAGCCAAGAACAAAAGACATAAGATCAACCCCTCCTAATCCTTCTGTATTGTCACCAGTCCACACAAGACATCTCCTCTGAAAACAGCACCTGCCTGAGCTCTACCTTGTTTCCAGAAGCCTACATGGGTATATTTGCACATTAGGGGAAGGTCCCCAAGACATCCTCCATGTTTATTCCTATAGCTGTTGAATCAGGTCCTTTCACAATCCTCATGTCTCCACCAACCCCATCTGCCCAGAGTGTTTCTCCTTTGCTTTTTATGGAAAATCCTTTCTTATTCTTCAGGATGCATGTTGTGCTCACTTCGGCAACACATATACTTCAGGATGTGTCTTCAATACAATGCCTCCTCCAACTACTTCAGTGAGTTAGCTACTTCTACTCCTCAATACTTCACCTGAGGTTTTAAAAAAATATTTATTTTTTTATCTCAAAACAGCAAGCCCTATTCCATCCCACTATACTCTAACTGTATCTGTTCAATGTCTGTCTGCCTGTTTATGCCATAAAACTCATGCAGGCAGCAATTTTATTGTGTGTTCCATCCTGAGGTATGATTCAGGGTCTGGTACAAAGAAAATCCCCAACTGGTTGTTGAACAAACATATTAGGTATCAGTCACTCAAATGCGAGAGGTTAATTTGTCTTCTCTGTCCTGAATGTTTTGCCTATATTCACAGCTTTACCCCAAGGAGGAATTTATCTCACCTGAACGTGCATGCACAGACCTCCGAACAGCAGCAGAGATACAGCGTGAACCAGGTAGACGAACACCTGTGGACTGAGGAAGCCGAGATTGTACTTCTCTGCAGTCTTACTGTTCTTGTTCCTTTGAAGTCCAAGTGTAAGGCAGAACCAAGGATGTGTGGTCACGTAGGTCCAAGTTGCCCAGGAAACCAATATAGCCACTGGCGCAGCCAGAAGAAAATTGGGCACCTGCTTGAACTCATAGTATCTCAGAAAGCCAACATTCCAGTAGATATCCTGGATATAGCTGTATATTAGAGGAAGATCCCAGGAGCACCACGGTGGCTCATTTCCATCTGCAATCCGATAGCCCCTGTCCACAGCTAATTGGACCAAGGGCTCAGGAATGGAACGGGCTGAACCTGACAGACAGAACTGGGTATATGCGTAATACTGAAAGAGGGCAAAGGGAAGGCTAAGTGTGAGTACTGACAGGCACACAGAGGCCACCAGCTTAAAGAACTGTCTTAGGGGGTTTGACACCACAAGAGAAGAGAAAAAGCCTCGGCACTGAGAATGCAGGAGGAAGCCAACACTGACCAGTCCATTGGAGCGTACCCCAGTGGCAAGAGCAAAGAGCAGCCCACTAATCCAGCTTCGGCCTCTCTCTAGCTGCCCCATAGCGCTGAATGTAAGGAAAGCAAACAAAGCTTCTGAGTAACCAGCTGCCAGGAAAACATTCGCAGGGCTGAGGCAGAAGAGCAGTGCTGCATAAAAGGCCTGGCGGGGACAGCGCAAAACTAGACAGCCCAGGTCATGAAGTACTACTGTGGCCAGCACGGAAAACAAGGAGTTGAGTGATGCTACTGAAATAAGCAGGCAACTCCGTTGGCTCAAAAGCCCCCGCAAGGGTCTCAACAGTTTAGTCCCTACCACCAACGCCAAGGGGAAACCAGGGAAGAAGGCAAAGTTGTGCTCATAGAGGTAGCCATGCTCAGCAATGAACAGGAAGTGTTCAGCATCCCAGCGAGAGAGGCCGCCCAGAAGACCTTCCACAAGCTGGTCCACACAACCTGAAGGAGCCAGGCGGGGAGGAGAAAAGGCTTCTGCATGATGATCTGGGATGATGGCATTGAAGAAGGCCTGTGGGGTGAATGAGAACCAGGATTTTAGTTGAGTAATTGAAAGAAAAGAATTATCACCTAACAAAATGAGGAAGACCAGCTCAATGGTAGAAAGCTTACCTCATATGCATGGGGCCCTGGGTTTGATCCCCAGTACTGTAAAAACAAATAAAATAAGAAAGAGTCCAGCACTCGGGAGACTGAGGCTGGAGGAGGATCACCACAGGTTTGAGGCAGGGGGAGGGGGAGGAGAAGGAGGAGGGAGAAGAAAAAAAAAAGTCAAACAAGTGTGAGGCGTTGACGTCTATGAATAGAAATCGGGGTTGAAGATACAAATTAGAGATGGAAGTGTATGGATGGACAGTCTTATAGGTATAAGACTGAAGGAGATACCGCCTTCACTGCAGAAAGAGAACAGATCTGAGTGAAGCCACTGACATGTCAAGTTAAGAGGTTTGACAGGAGATGAGGGTCCACCATGAAGATAAATAAGGAACAGTGAGGTGGGGGGAAATCCAGGAGGACACACAATCTTAGAACCAAGGGAAGAACAGTAGGGAGCAACTTTTTTTTTTTTTTTTTGAGACAGGGTCTAAATATAGTTCAAGCTGCCCTTAAACTCACTATGTATATAATCCAGGCTGGCCTTGAACTCGAGGTGATCCTTTAACTTGGGCCTTCCAATTGCTGGGATTATGGGCATGTACCACCACATCCAGCTAGGGAACAACTCTTTTAAATGCTGCTGATAGGTTGAGTAAAATGGGGATTGAACTCAGTAATGTGAAAGTCCCTAGTAAGTTTGACCAGAGCTATTTCAAGGGAGTGAAGAAGAAAGAAGCCTCTCTAAATAGGTTCAATACCAGCACTCAGGAGGCTGAGGCAGAAGGATCACTGTGAGTTTGAGACCAGCCTGGGCTATATAGGGAGTTCCAGGTCAGTCTCAACTACATAGTGAGACCCTGTCTAAAAAAAAAAAAAAAGGTTCAATAGAGAGTGGGTGAAAGAAAACTAACTTCAAGAGTTCTACTGTAAAAGGGAGCAGAGGAATAGTGTAGCAGGTGTATGACAATGTAGGGGTCAAGAAGGAAAAAATTTTTTTCCTAGTACTGGGATCGAACTCGGGACCTTGTGCTTGGAAGGCAGACACAGCACCACTAAGCTACAACCCTGACCCTAAGAGAAAAATTTTGAAAGTAGGGAGCCACTGGGAATTATCCAGTGAAAAGGGAATCACTGAATATGTAAAACAGAGGGGAAGCTAGCCATAGTAACACATCCCTATGATCCCAGCACTCAGAAGGCTGAGGCAGAAGAAGCACCACAAGTGTGATGCCAAACTGGACTATACATCTAATCTGAACTAAAGAAGAAAAAGAAAGAAAAGGAAAAAAAAAAGAGTGAGAATAGTTGGGCAGGTAATAAGGGTAGGAATCTGTTAAGACAATGGAGGAGCCAGTCTTACAGACTATTCATACACCCTTCAGTAGTGAAGGCCTACTAGGTACAGACGTAGGTAGGTAAGGTGATGGATATGGTGAGAGCACATAAAAGGTCTTTCCCAATGCCTTGGATTTTTTTGTTTTCATTCAAGAAAATAAGTTATCAATTGAAAGTATTACGAAAAAACTGTTAGAGATTTGAGAAAAGAGAAAAACATGTAAAATAAATTACCTATTGGCCAGGCATTTGGGAGGCTGAGGCAAGAGGATCACCATAAGTTCAAGGCCAGCCTATGCTACAAAGTGAGTGCAAGGCCAGTCTGAACTACACAGTGAAATACTACCAAAACAAAAAAATTTACGTATAACCTTCAATTTCAAAATAGTTTGTGCTGTGAAATCACCCAGAGTTTCAAAAATACTGATCCCTGGGACCTCCCAGAGATTTCATGATTTGAATGGCATGGGGCACAGCCTGGGAACTGGACTTTTCTTTTTAAGTCACCCAGGTGATTCTGATGTGCAGAACTTTTTGAAAGAGAGTGGATGGTTAAGAAAAATATATCAAGATTGCCAGGTGACACTAACATCTCACTTGGATTAGTAATCTTGCACAAACAATGAGTTATTAGTACAATTATGTCCTTTTTCTGAGTAAACACAGATGTGGAGGAAGAAGAAAATTCGATTTAACCTAGGTTGGACTTGTCTTATGAATAACGAATGCATAGGGAGACAGGACAAAGGGAGTTCAAAGTATATGCATAGGAATGATTATGAGACCACTGAATCTCATCTGGATAAAAAAGAGAGGCAAAGGGCTGGGGATTTGGCTTAGTGGTTCCACTGCCTGCCTCACAAGCACAAGGGCCTGAGTTCAATCCCTGGTACCAAA